AGTGAAATGCTCTTAAATGCATCAAGGAGTCTGTTGTGTAAAGTATCAAATCGTATTTCATTAGTTCGGATTTTCGTTGTCTAATATGATATAAAATGACTTGAAATCCCTGAAAGTTAATAAAATTAAAAAGATTCGCTGAAAAAATTACAATTATATTGAGCAAAAAAAACTGAAATTACAATGAAATAAAAGACATGCAATAATTGAAAATTGAACAATTAACAAGAAATTAATCATTGGTAGAAGTCCATTATATCTTGAAGTGTAGTGTAGTAGTAGATAAGCTGTGAAAGCTTCAATTCATACCTGCTTCGTCTCTGAGCTTTGTTAAGACAGCTACCTTTTCCAAATCGTCCACGAACGTTTTCCATAATTGATTTCCATTGTACAGAACTCTCGCTGTTCTGTTTTCTGGCCCTTTTTCACTTTCCAGATTGTCGTTTTCATCTTGATCTTCGATGTTCTTCACAATAGGCACGGCTTCTTCTACGATTACCTCCTCAACAACATACGTGTTGTCTTTGTTTTGGATTTCATCTGAAACAAAATTTTTGAGATACTAGAGTTGAATTAATTCATTCGTGAAACAATTGATATTTCGAATGTTCTAGATGGAGTGAAACATCTTACGATTTTCTTAATTATTTGATGTATACAAGAAAATTTTAAAAACTATCTGAGAGCGTAACCTGTGTAAAAGACATGATACATATAGTGTCACTCATAAAGTCTGCAACATATGGAAGTTTTTTTTATTACTAGATTCATTCAGAATTTGATTCCGCCGGGAGTTTGTGCCTGAAATACAAGTAAAAAACAGTTTCTTTTGTCATGTGTTATTCTGAACAAGTCAAATTTGACTTTTTTTGATTTTAAAAATCTTCTAAAAATCAGGTTTTTTAAAAAAAATACAAAAAAAGTTGCTCAGTTTTCAATTTTATACCTTCTTCCCAAATTTGAACTCTTTAGTGTCACTTCGTTTTTTTTTCTTCTTCTAATCTTCCGCTTGGAAAAAAAATAAATGGAAAGAGGGTCTTGTAACACATCTTTTTGAAGCTCCTGACAAATGCTTCACAACCCTAGAATATAATATCAATATCTTCAACCAGTACAAAATGGTGGAACTTTTAATAATTGCCTGAATACATTGACATTTAACTACATAATATGAGGTAATAAGCTTGAGGTCAGTTAAGAAGATGCTCGAAATGGTTGCCTTGAACTTCTTGACATATGAACAGCCTATCCGATATTTCACGCCGTTCAACGTTCAGTTTCGTTCACCTTCTGCTTCAAATAGACCCAAAAAATCCAAAGGTGTCAAATCTGGCGAGCGGGCTGGCCATTCTGTAGGACCTCGATGGTCAACTCAACGACCGGAAAAAGTAGTATCGAAATAGTTTCTTAATTGTCGGTAATGTGGTGGTGCTCCATCTTGTTGGAATACAATATCTACATCGAATTCATTAGGATTCGGTTCGACGATTTCAATGATGAGAGGGTCAATTTAATTTTGTGTGGATGATGCTTATTCCTCTGCAAAAGTATCCACACAGTACAAGGAGACATCTCACCAACATTCGCGACGGAATAAGTAGACTGTTCAGGATTTACTACCATCTCACTATTATTTGCACTTGCTGTTCTTCCGGAATAAACGGATGACTTGAGGGCTTCTTGTTATGTACACTACCGGTAGTTGTGAATTTGGATACAAGTTTCCTCAAACATTTTCTACAGATAGGACGATTCGGAAACGGTTCATTGAAAATCCTGAAAGTTACGCGTTGCACCGTAAATAAAAATCGCTTGAATTTTTTTACCAATGGACGAGAATTGACAGTTTTAGAGATATTTGACGTGGTACCTTTCTACTACTAAAACCGAAAACTAAATGAGAATATTATGACTGAACAATGATGTTCATTGTCGGACTGACATTTTTTGTCGTTTTCATAAACAAAAAATAACTTAATAAACCTCATCGGGTTGTTGGAATTGCCATATGGCAGATAAAAAGGAATATTTTTAGAAATATCGATATTGTGTTGGGAATTTATTAAATGTTCCGCCATTTTGTAGTAGATGAAGATATTGACATCATATTTTAGGAATGTGAAGTATTTATCAGGAGCTTCAAAATAATGTATCACAAGACGCCCTTTCCATTTAATTTTTTTCCCAGATAGCGCCCAGTCGACATCTTGAAAGTTTCGCCTGTCAATTTCACTTCAAATTAATTATCCCAAATTTCAACTTTTTGAGTTGACCTGTTCAAAAAATAAAAAGGGGAAGCATTAAACAAATGCACTGTATATTATAAGTTTGATAAATAAGAGACCTCGATGTCATATCTTGCCCAGAAAATATCCACTTTCGCCTGTTTTTAAAAATAATGGACCTACAGAAATGTGTTTTTGTGTTTGTGAAACTGATTCGAATTTTGAAGATGAGGAAGTTAGTATGTCAATAATCGAGTGAATGAGTTTCTCATCGTTCTTAGTACTCTTGTAATTTTTATTTTTTCCATAGATTTGTATCCAGTTTGGTTAATTTTTGATCAGTAACTCAGTTACAGACAAACCCGATGTTCCGTCAAAGCCTCTATTTTGAAACATGTACTTCGTCATATAATGGCTTCTTCGGACGTGTTTTTGTAAAACTGTCTAGTGAAAAGCTCACAAATACGTTGGTTATGGATTTTCATCAAGTAACGCCCAATTCCATCATTTATCTCTATTTTGAATTCCATTTCGATTTATTATCTTCAATTTTCTTACCCTGGCATTTTCCGAAAAAAAATTCTGTATAATCGATTTTTAATATTAAGACCGCGATGTTACTGTGCTTGCCTCCATTTGTCACTATATCGCGCACCCCCCGTATAAGATATTCCGTCAAAAACAGTCGGGAGTGTGGCAGAAGAGACGAGTCGCTCCAAATGCTCGAGGAGCTGCCCAAGTGATGCAGGAGATTTGTGTTGCTGTGAAATGTATTCGAAGTAACAATATTGCCCGATCGAAGACCAAACATGGAACGGGAGCTGGAATATACCAAGCGGATAGAAATTTAAACTACAGCTATCCGCTAGGACTATACACATCCGTCTTTCAGGCGGAAGTGTATGCTATCTTGCAGTCTGCAAGTCTTATTAAATTGAGATCTCAAAGAAATGAGCGGATCAATATTTTTACAGACAGTAAGAGAGCACTAGGGGCTCTGACAAACCCGAAGGTGACATCAAAACTGGTCTGGGAATGCTATGAAGAACTGAATGAACTTGCAAACAGGAACAAATTAACTTTGTA